GACCTACAACTCTGCACAGAGATGTGGGGCTCTACTGTTACTTCACTCATCTATAGTAGGATCTAGGACCCAAATCCCCAATATGACTCAGGTTCTAATGACACTTGACTTTTAAGTATTTAGAAAAATCACAGGAACACCACCATGATTCACAAAGTCAGCACATTAGGTGGGAACTACCCAAATTAGCCTGTAGGAGTGCCAACAAATAAAGTGTGTGCCCTTCTCTCTGAGTTCCTGCACCACTCAAATGGCATATGGATCCTATTCTAATAGGTGTGACAGACTGCCTAACTCCACACAAAATAGGCGGGGGGGAGGGGGTTGAGAAGGAAGAGAACAGCCCTTAGCCCAGTAGTTAGGGTACCCACCTGGAATGTAGGAGAACATATCTGAATACAGATCTCTGCCACTCCTCTAGTGCACATTTTAACTATAGAGCTATGTGATACTCTAATGTAGTGCTTGCTCCATCTCTCCTATTGAAGCTGTTCCATTTGAATTGAATGATGACATATGAATTGAGCCAGAGAAAGAGTTAGAATGTCTTTATAGCCAAGCAGCATAATCACTAGGCTAAAGATTATAGAGGGGTCTTCCTGCCCAGTGGCTCTCTTGGGTGGACTTAGGTAGCCTCTGAGCATACCTACTGCACTGGGCCCCACCCATGATGTAGGCAGCCATACACTCATCTTTCTTGTGGTTCAGAAATTAATCTGGGACATAGGTACCCAGATGCCTGGAGTGGCGCAGCAGGGCACATAGGCAAAGGCAGAAACAAAGGACCTAAGGCATGTTTCCTGCAAACATCAAGGCAGTGAGTGACTTTAGGTGCCTACAGGGTTATGTGGCAGCTGAGCAGAAGTTCTGTGGATCACAGAGGTGCCCAAAAACAAGAATTAGGCACCCAAGAACCTTTGCAATCCCACCTTAAAACTTTGCTTAAAACAGTTGAATATACTCTGGTGTCTCCTCGCAGACAGGGCTTAGTAACTCTAGGCTTTCAGAGAGGTGGGCATGGCCTGTCAATCAGACAATGCTTGGAGGAAATGACTAGGCTAGGGGAAGAAGTTTAAGCTGAGGTTTATGTTGCTATGATTATCTGAGATACCAGAACATCCAAAGCCAGGAAAAGGATGAATATGACTTTATGCAGGCAGTGTGAATGGTGTATGAAGGGCAAGAATAGCACCTGCCTACCACAAGATAACCACAGCTCTGGAGGGTTTGTGCAGTAGTTGCCAAAGACTGTCCCTATGTGTTATCAATTTACTCATTATCATTTGCTGTTAAGAGACACATGCACAAGGGTTAGATGCAGGGCAATGGTGGGTCTCTCCAAATTCCACCTACAGCCCATTACTAATTGGCTGCTCCTGCTAAAATGATCAGCAGCGCACTAGTGAATAATGTTGCTATGCTACAGAGACAGGATGGGCCGGGGTGAAGGTGCTAATTCCCTGCACTACCATGTGTCCTGTGCGAGCTTAGATTAGGGGTGCTGAAAGCCACTGAACCAAATTGCAAATCCTGTATATGATAGAAACTACTTCAAGCCTGGGGGTGTGGCAGCATCCTCCACCCCTACTTCCAGCACCTATGCCATAGACCAGTCATTGAGTTCCTCATCTGCCAGCATCTACCTGCATCTTCAGGCATCTGAGTCTTCTATTTTATGTGCCACTGACATCTTCAAAGCCACCACTCAGCTGCCACCTAACCCCATTGGTCGGGATTTACAAAGTCTCTGCCCCACACGGAATGAGTTGCTCAAAGCCCTACCACAAGACACATTCCCAACAGCCCTGAAACAGGATTTTCAAACAGGGCAGGGGCAAGTCTCTCTCACCAGTGCGGCCAAGCCTGAAGTGTGCTCAGAGCTCACTGGATCCCTGCCAGCCAGAGGACCAGGTGCAGGTTCCCCACTGTGTGGAGGGGCAGCCCAGCAGGCTCACAAAAGACAGGTAGGGACCCCGAGTGTGACAGAGGAATTGAGCAGGAGCCAGGGAGATTATTCTGGCATCTTAGACATGGGCTACTTAAACCGCTGACCTGGCTTCAGTGCCTAGCTCCAGGAGAGGGTTTGTGGCTTAGAATCTGGAGCAGAGGGAGGTGCCTATCTCTGGCCCATCAGCCAGGTGCACAGCATCAGCTGTCTATCCTCAGCCCCTCCCCCCACTCCTAAGTATTTCATTCCTGGGTAACAGATTGCTCTCCGCTCAGCTTGCCCTTGAAAAGCCCCTCCTAACTCTCCTTAGGCACTGCACCATATGGGAAGCCTGGACCCCACTCTCAGGGATGAGCACCCCCTGGGGGCAGGCTGCCTGGGGATTAGGAACTGTGCGCTGAGCAGAACAAGGCCCAAGTGCATTTATTTAGGGATGTGGTCTCTCTGTGTCTCAGTTCCCTGCTGTGAACTTGTGAGACTGGAACTTCCCTACCTCCTAGGGGTGTTGAGAAGATCACTGCAGATTGTGAGATGCCCAGATTCTCGCGTAGGGGGCCACAGGTAGATATTTCATTGATAGGCATGCCTCACTCAGCTGCACCATGGCAGGTCTCTCCTCTTGGACCTTTGGGGCCCACTTCATTTGCATATTTCCAATGGCTTCCATGAAGCAACATCAAAGGTGGATTTGGCCCACTGTTTTAGTCCCTGTTAGGCTGGGTTTGCACTGACGTAGGTAGTCACAGACAGCACTGGTGTCACACCCCACCAGGCTTTTGTGTGAGGGGGTTGCACAGATGTAACTGCACAGGTGTGTTCACACCACAGCTAAGTGCCATAAGACAGGGAGGCCCTTAGTCTTTCGGCAGACTTGGTAAGAGAGCACCACAGTAAAGTGAGTCACAGCTGGAACATTATCCCTGAGCGCAGGAAAGCTAGAACGAACTATTGTCGATTGCCACAAACTTTCTCATTGCTTGAAAATTAAACCGTAGTTTTGGCAGACATCGATGGGACCCCCAAATAAGGTTGCCAACTGTTTAGTCACACAAACCCAAATGCCATCCCCGTCCCTGCCACTCTCCTGAGGCTACTCCCCTGTCATGTCCCTTCCCAGAGGCCCTGGCCTTGCTCACTCCATTCCCCCTCCCTGCATCGCTTGCTCTCCCCCACCCTCACTCTCACCACACTGCAGCAGGGGGTTGCAATGCAGAAGGGAGTGTGGGTTTCAGAGGGGGTTCAGGGCTGAGGAAGGGGTTGGAGTGTAGGAAGGGTTGTGGGGGTGCATGCTCTAGGCTGCACTGATCTCAGGCAACTCTTGGAAGTGGCCAAGCACATCTGACTCCTTGACTCAGGGGTGGCCAAATGGCTTTGTTTGCTGGCCCTGCAGGCAGGCCACTGCAGAGTCAACACTCAGGGCAGGGCGCAGGGGCAGCGTGCAGAGATTCCTTGGTCACCCCATGCCTAGGAGCAGAGCATGCAGGCCATTGCCGGGAGTCACATGGAGCCAGGATACACAGGGAGCCTGCCTTAGCCCGCCCTTCTGCACCAGTGATTAGACTTTTGACTTATTAAAATCTCCTGCATTGATTTTAATAGTGACTGGGAGATTGAAGTAGATTCCGGTAGACTCCCAGCCTAACTTCCCCCTAAGCTGCGCACCAGCACAGCTTCTCATTAAGCCCAGCCATGGCTGGTCCCAGTCCCAGCAGGGAGCTGCCACAGCCAGCAGATGGGACCCGCTCCCTGCCAGGCTCAGCACAGATCTGCTACAGCTGGGAGAGAAGACTCCCTCCCCACTGGCTCCACTGAGCTTCTGTGGCTAGGGCAAGGGGCCTCTCCCCCCCCACAGGCCCAGCATGGAGCCACCCAGGTAAGTCCAAATCCCAACCTCTTGCTCAGTGTTAAGGGGCCATCCAGCCCTGAGCCCTCTCCTGCACCCCAAAACCCTCACCTCCAGCCTGAAGCCCACACCCCCAGTCAGAGATCTTGCACTCCAATCCTCTACCCCTGCCCTGAGCCCCCTCCTACACCTAGAACCACTTGGCCATACCACACCACATGAATTTTGTTATGTGCACTAATATGAAGGTGATACAGCCCACATCACCTACATATTGCCCTTCACCTCCATACTAGCGCACATAAGAAAATGTATTCCACTAGGAGGTGGAAAAAATTAGAGGGAACACTGCTTCCAGGCAATTTGGAAGGGTTACCAGCTCTGTCTCCAAAGGATGTGCCAGCTTTGCATATTTGCTACATGCAGTCCCGCTCCATACCCTGAAAGAAATAAGGGAAACAATTTAGCTGAATGCTACTGTTCAGTGTAAGCATCACATTTGGTCCCCTATAACTCACATGTAGTTAAATACCAGGGCTTGATTCTCCAAGTATAGCCATCTACATCCTTGCAAAGTCGGTGTGAAATGCTAACAAGCCAGGCTGTGCATTGCATCTCCCTTGCAGAGTTGTAGCTGGCTACCTAAGGTGCAAAACAGAGAAGGACAGTGCAAAATTCTCTCTCTACTGGCAGGAAAGTATATCTTGCACTTTGCTATGAAGCCACATCGCTCTGTCACAAACCAAAAATAAATGCAACTAGAAGCAGACAGCACTACAAGCTACTTAATATTGTTGCCTTCAAGGTCTTTAGGCCAAATCCTATGGGCCTGACTCATGCAAATGGTCTCACTGAATTGTCAAATGCTATTTATAGGACTTGAAATTAAAAAAAGTTTCTGGCCATTCTGAAATAGAAGCAGTCTTTGAAGGTGTGGTTTCCTACTTATCACTGCACATTTTGTGCTGCCGAGGCTCCGCTCTTAGCCAATAACCTTTTAAAAGCTGCACTACAACTAAACTACATTGGACGGGTAGCTGAATTCTCAACACTATGGGACTGGAACAAATCCTACAGACTTGAAATTAAAAAAAGTTTCTGGCCATTCTGAAATAGAAGCAGTCTTTGAAGGTGTGGTTTCCTACTTATCACTGCACATTTTGTGCTGCCGAGGCTCCGCTCTTAGCCAATAACCTTTTAAAAGCTGCACTACAACTAAACTACATTGGACGGGTAGCTGAATTCTCAACACTATGGGACTGGAACAAATCCTACATCA